CACAGCTTTTCATTTTCTCACTCTGTACTTGTTTCCTGCGTACCACACCAATTTTCACACTTGAACGCCAACTTTTCTTGGTTAGTGGTTAGATCTAGAAATTTTCCAAGTTACTCAAGCTGAAGAACTTCTCTAAATAGTTCCCACTACTATTTGCATTTAGAACTTCTAATTTTTTGCATTTCTATAAGTAATCTTCAAAATCCATCCAGCTCAGAAGGTTTTTTTCACTCCCAGGGTAAGGTACTACATTAGGGTCTAGGACCTGAAATGAAATTGTTTGCTTTTAATTTCAGTGGCAGAGAATTTAGCCCCAGTTCTTGGAACATCTACATCAGCTTCCTATGAGGTGGTAAATTCAGAGCTGACTCAACAAAATTCATGAAGACAAGATCAACTGTGCTTTTACTGAGCTAAAGGAAGGCACTGAGCTCTGCCTTTCTAAACAGAAGTATCTACCCAGCCCATGAAGGTAAAGAAGATACAGAAAGGTGCCTTCTGACAAGCAGCAGAAAGATTTCTAATGGTGATCTTCAACCATGGGAAGTTCACTTGGCAATTTAAGGGCCAAAGGCGGAGTGGCAATAGTGGGATGTGCCAAACTGAGCATTGAAACTTGCTCACATTTATCTCTCTTGATTTTAGATGCCTCTAATAAAGGGGATGTGCCCTATTTAAATAGTCCCTGGACTCCAGGGCTGGAAGGAGATTTGAGGGTTCATCTAGTCCATGCCTAGATGATCTTCATCACTACCACTGCTAAGACTCTTACCTTGTCCCCTTCTCCATCATTATTCCTCAGACAGCTTCAAGTTATTTGGTTCTTTCTTTTGGAAAAGGTTTTCTAGACCCTTTTCTCATTTCCATTGCTGCTCCATGCTTTTCTCAGTGTGCAGTGCCCACAAGTAGGGGCAGCATCCTGTCCATGGCTTCACTGTCACAACACAAAGCATTTCTTTGTGTGTGCCGTACAGTTCAGGGTTAGATTTAAGTTTTTCATGTGTGACATTGCCAGCTGGTCTTCATCATCCAGGGAACTGCTGGAAATACTGAATAACCAAAGACTCACCTGGGCACCACCTTTCAGTGCATCCTTCTCTTCTGGCAGTTAATCAGTGCCTCTCAATATGACCTTCCATTTGACACAGTTTTGAACCATTTTAAGGGCATTTTTCAGGAATTTTCCAATAAATTTCATACTCATAATTCATCTAGGTTATATTTCCATAACTTTACAGATAATATAAAAATTATTACTGAAATCAAGCAAAGAATTGGTATCTTGGGTAAGAAGCCCACTGCAGGGTGCACTTGTGCACTTTACCGGGTTAAATAGACTTGATTCACTATAACTTCCTGGTAATAAAAAGAAGAGGAGGAGCAAATATGACCATGCAATAATACACTTAATTTTCCAGTTCCTCTTTTTTTTTTTCCTCAGGCCAAGGGAATGATGATTGCAAATAAGAATAGGAAGGAAGTTGTCTGTACTACTCAGCTGTATTTGCATGGGGAAGTATTAAGGAACCCAGTGTAGGCATTGGTGTGTTAAGAACTCACTACATGGAAACTAAATATATCCAAGAGTTTTTCGTATTCCTCACATATTTATCTCACAACTCAGCATCAAAGAAAGGAACAGTTAATCTGACCCATGATGACCCATATCCAGGATGTTTGGCGGAAAAGACTGTTCTCAGTCACTAAACAATCCATTTAAATTCTGTTTTCAAACTCAGTATGGATTTTCAGGATGGATTTGTCTCATCCAGCTGGGGCTACCTAAAAGACCTCTTGTGCTGGTTTAAAATTGCGTGCAGATGGATGGGAGAGAAGGACAGAAGATAAGAGTGACTCATCTGGTGGATGTAGATGTTCAGAAGACGAGGTGAATCACTCTCTAGATGCCCTTATTGACTCTCCACTGACTCAAGGGGGAACTTTAACAACTGTACTGACCATACAACTCTCTCTTGAGTTGAACCCTGTGGACATGGTAAAGATGCTCCACTTAAGGCCTGAAATTTGTATGCCTTGTGTCAGCTCCATCTCACTTTTATGGGAAATAAAATGTGATTAAAACCTTTTTGACCTTTATAGATAATTAGGTTGGATGAAAATTTTCTCATGGTAATTTTGAGGAGGTGGTATAACTCAGGCTTCCCCAAACCTCTGCCCTGCAGCAGAGCTGGATGCTGCTGTGGAGGTTGGGAAGGGCCCTTGTGGGTGCACAATGTGAGTTCACAACCACCACTACTGTAATTTTAAGGATGCATAAGCAATATGCTGATTAACAGAGTTTAGGTAGCTGCTAGAGCCACCCCCACACCCTCCCTGGGAAGGTCCATATGAAACGTTATTCTCTTGAATACAGGACTTGCATAAGAGTGAGTAACAGCAGAAAAGTTGAATAAAACACAAAGCTTGCTTATTTCAGTGAGTTACATGGATGTTTACAGCTGCTTTAAAGTGGGAAGAGCTGCAGTAAGATCAGTGTTGCCCTTTCTTCAAGCTGCCTGAGAGACCAGTTTAAGGAAAGGACACTCCCCCAGACCAAATGAGTTTGTGCAGAGTCTTAAAAGCACTTACAGGATTTCAAAAAGCCCTTGTTAAACCTAGACCTAGGAAGGCTGTAGCTGTGTTTGTGGTTTACTCCATGGCAACTCCATTTCTGTACTTGTGATCTTGTGATATTGAATAAAAATAATCTTTATAATCTTGTCTGTGGTGGCCTGAGCTATGTGACAGACTTTTCCTCCCAGCTCTCTGCTGAAACAGAGGACTTATCTAAGCAGCAAAACTCTGCTATTCAATGGAGGAAAGTCAAGGAGCAACAGATATCCCAGCACTTTCCTTCTACATCTTCCTTAATTATCAAGATGCCTTTTTTCTTTTTTTTTTCTCCACCACTGCCCAGATACCCACTGAGTTTTCACAGCACCTCCCATCCTTTATTGTCACACCTAATTCTGTTGCTAACATCTCATGTTGATAATCCAAATTGTAATGCTAGTTATGTTTTTTCTCTCAAAAACCCCAGTTTTTATCTGTGCCTGTGTGCCTTTTCCCCCTTGCTGGGTCTCTCTGCTCTCACTCTCCCCTTCTCTACCTTCAGCAAACTGACCTACTTCCAAAGCTGATCTGATTAATTCCTCTCACAAACCATAACCATTTTTTCTGACCTTTAAGAGGTGTAAATGCTGAGTTACAGGTCTTTCTTATGCAATCTGTGTTTGTAGCAATGAGCCACCTGAAGTCACCATTCATTCCAGTACAATTGACTGTACTTTCCATTTATTCCTGGATAAAAACTCACCTTTTCTGATAAAACCTTAGTGGCTGTTACTCACCTGTGCTGAGGTTTGCTACCTGAAAACAAATGGCTGCATGAAAGATTGAGCTGGAGGACTGCAGAAAACGTCCCTCATCTGTGTCCATCATTAAAATAGCTGTGGAATTAAATAGTTAGACCAAGCAAGAAATTGAAGCAGATGTTGGCAAGTAAATGCCTTCACCTCAAAAGAACAGACCCCATATTTAGTAAGGAAAGGATAAAAAGTTTGGGATTTCATTCCAGGCAACATAATAAATGTTTTACTAGTCCAAATGACTGCAGGGTTCAGGCAGTTACATATGTCAAGGCATCTTGGAAAAAGGTGAAGGATTGGGTTCTAAGACTTTCAGACAGAATTTTCAGGAGTGAAATTCTCTAAGTCCTTCAGATGGCTTTGGCATGAGCTTTTCCTATTACACTGTTAAATATTGAAGATGATTTGATACTGAAGCAAAGGCAGCAAATACTGTGGAGCGTGAAGCAGCTCTGGGGTGAGCAGAGCATTTTACCCACAGCAGTTGCTTCAGAAATCTTACCTGTTCTCCATGCCCTGTTGCATTTGGATTTGAGAAGTAATCTCCTGGCAAAGCCTCGCAGCTGGCAAACCCTGCAGGAGGATTTGTCACCTGCATCACAAAGCTGCACAAAATCTCTCATGGAAACAGCAAAGGGAAATTTATCAGGAGAAAGGTAGCAGACTGATGGATACAGCCACAGCAGCAGTTAAAAATGTATCACATCTATTCCTTAGCTTGCCTCTTAAGAATATTTAATTCATTGAGGATTTATAAAGGAGGAATAAATGCCCAGCATGTAATAATCATGATAGAATACTACAGATAGTTTAAATCTGTTTTTTTCTGTTTTTTTTTTTTTTTCTATAGTCTATCCGATTTAGTTCTCTAGTTACTAACAGAAAATAACTTCTGTGTGAATGGCTGAAGAAAAACTACATAAAGTGTGACACTTCCTTGGTAATTTCCAGTTTTCCACTGGCATTTACAAAAATTTCACTGAAGCATGTGACACCCAGACAATTTAGGAGGAAGCAAAACCTTTTCCAAACCTGGCAGCCTCACTCTCATGTTTTTTTTTTTTTTGTTTTTTTTTTTAATCAAGCTGTCCATCCTTCAGAAGCTCAGCTGTGATTCAGAGAAACTGCACACATGCCTCCATCCAAACCAAATGCAGTATGGCTTTATCATCCCTAATAGAAGAGCTCTGAAACCCAAAAGGAGAAGCCATGGAACCTTTTCTTTGCTGGTAGCGCCCACAGATGTTGCCTGAGATCCAAACCAGACATCTATTCCACAGCCTTGGTCCCTCTCTAGTACCTGTCCAGCCACAGATGTGGGGCTGAGTGCCTGAACAAACCTATTAAAGCCTTCCTGCTTCTACTGACCTCAGCTGTAGTGAAATGTGAAAGAGCTCTGGAGCCAGGAGCTCTGATGTGTCAAACCACTTCCTATACACGATGGCACGCTCTGCCACAGCGAGCATCGAGTTTGGTTTCCTGGATAACAGACTAATACCTGAACAGAAAGCAGCCTTTGTTCTTTCCCGTGGAGCCAGCAAAATGATGATTTGCTGACCAAAGCCCTCGCTGCACACGTGGGTGATGCTCCCAGACAGCCTCATCAGGCAGTAATCAGCTCCTTGGCTTAGCTGGCAACAGCTCATCGCTTCTGAGAAACTTCACCATCCTCAGAGGTGTGGAGAAAAGATGGGGACAAGTGCCATGGAGATCAAGTGGCTTTTGATGTGGCTCTTGTTTGGATTAGTCAAGGGGAGCAGGCCAGGTAAAAGACTCTTTTTTGCCTTTTGGGGAGGGAAAAAATGATTTGGGTTTTTTGGTGGCTGAAGAGGGTGTTCATAACATCCTGACTCCTTTCAGCAAAGGAAAGATGCTAAGGAGCTTAAGGACTTTATTATTCTAAGGAAATGAGAGAAATGGGTTCTGTGCCCACAAGCTGTCAACTGCAGAAAATCCAGAGCTTTAGAGGATATTTTTTGTCTGACTAACGTATGTATCCTCCAACCCATCGCTGGAACAGTGGGCACATCAAAGCAGCCTGAGGCAGCCCTTTGAATTTCCTTTTTCCATTTTGCTTGTAAGTTTAGGAAACAAAAATAGACACTGAAATGCCAGCACCCCTGTAGGTAAAATTGATGGCAATGCTATTAGTTAAAAGGTACCATCCAAATTTGCTATGGGTACTATGGATATGAAATATTTTTTCAGCCATGCCTCTCAATCAGCAGTGCCTGTAAACTGTGAATGGAGACAGCTAATCCAATTCAGCTTGATTTTACACATTTATAAATGGTGACACTGCTTAGATTTGGCTTATTTATTGTGACAAGTGTGTGCATTGAGAAATGGTCTGGTGATGCATTAGTGTATTTAAATTTAAACTGTTTTGTTCAAAGGCAGGGAAAAAAAAAAAAAAAAAACAAAACAAAAAACCTTCCATTCTCAGTGTTCCACAAATGTGATATTTCTTTCTGTGTCTGATGATGATGTCCAGGCTGAGAGGTATGAACAGACGCAGCCTAAGGCAGGCTCTCAGATATGCTGGTACTCTAACTGCTGATGGATCATCCTTAGCAGGGCTGGGAATTTTCCTCAGGGCTGGCCATCTCAGGGGAGGAGTGTGTTGCTAATGACTGCACTGATTAATGCAGGAAGGACCTTCACAAATGTTGAAGCTCCCGGTGATTTTTATTCTCATTATTTTGCCAGTAAATGCTGCACCTTCTCCTTTCACTGCCAGATGAGGAGCCAGAGCCCATGGGAAGTGTTTGGTGCTGCGTGCAGGAGCAGCATCACGAGCTGCTCAGCCAGAGATGTGTCAGTGGGATCAGTTCTGGGATGAGTCAGGTCCCCCAGATCACACTTTCTGTATTACTCTGCCTGGAACATGTTGTGAAATTTCTTTCTGGCAGTTCTCATTTATCAGAAACCTTTCTGGTTTTTTGGAAAAAAAAATCGAGGGGTGTCAGAGCAGTTGCATTTTATGCTATTTCATGTAATTTTATTCACCACTGAATGAATTAATGCACAGGATTCCATTCCCCACTGTATGTCTAAGCTCTTCTTTCCTCTGCTTCTTATACTTATTTTCAATGTCTCTCCCAATGATTAAACAATATTTATATATATACATATATATATTTGTAATTTCTCCATGCAAATAATATACTAAGGTAGAAACACCACCTTTTACCAATTTAGGGGCTTTTAATCACGGAGATACTTAAGGCATTTTGGCTGTAAGATCTGTTGATTTTATTCCTTAGGGGGATCAACAAGGAGACCTGGGAATAGACATAAGCAAAGCAAAGGGAAAGGGGCTGGGTCAAACTCGTCAAAAATCAACCAGGTCTCAGCACATACAGTGCTTTTTTTATTATTTTGCCTTAGTATTTTCACCTTGACCCAGCACTGCAAGTTCAGTTTTGTAAATACATCCAGCCCTAGATGGTGTTTGTCAAAATGCACTATCAGGAATAAATATAATTAGAGGGACAAGGAAATAAAAACCATTTGTTTTACATAACAATTTCACTGAGAGGTCTCAAAGTGTCTTGAGAGGAAAAAGTCCTGGGGGATTGGGTAAGTTAAGGAATGGGACGATCATTCATTTAATAAAAATTAAACTACACCTTAGTGCTAAAAAGAAGAGAAATGCTGGTTTTCGTGTGAAGAGCATCACATTTATCTCCTTTATTTTGCACAGCATCAGTGCCTAGAATATGCAGGCATGGTTGAAGCCTGAAGTGAGGGTCAAACACAAGGTAAAAGCTGGTCTGTGCTCCTACAACCTTTCCATCTTGCTGTTCATCATACAGGAACACACTGAGCAGATTTGCAACTTAAACCTGGAAAGGATTAAAACTCACAAAAGAAAGAAATTCATTCAAGTGAATTTCATTCACACAAGATGGGTACCAGATCTCAGTCGTGTAAATGAGAGGAATTTCTTTCCCATTATACTTGCATATTAGTGCTGGCTCCCATGGATTTGAAATGCAATGCAGAATACATTAAAGTTGTCAAAAACAGACAAGTGATTGTTTTAAGATCAACTAGAGAGCAAATACCTTTATAAACCTTTCAGCTCCAGTGGCCTTCAGCAACAAAGGGCTCAATATACAGCTACAAGTAAAAAAAAGTTAAAAAAAATGTTTTTAAAGTGTGATCCTACTGAGGAAAAGCAGATATTAGAGATAGATGGAGATCCAGCAGTGCCTGCTTCTTCAGCTGGAGGAATTGTTACATCCCTTTTCCTTTTATTGCAGAAAAACTACTCTTTATCTATTTCTAGAAAGCCACTGCTTCTGACTTTGCTCGCTGTTGCCTTCAGATTGTTGTTATTTTGGTCTCCCTACCTCCTCAGTGTTCAGCTTTGTCTGCCCTGTTCTCCCTGATGCATTAATGCTATCTTCAGAGCCCAGCTTCTGGATATTTTCTACCCATGGATTCCATTCCCTGACCTTGGTCCTGAATTTTGGAACAACGTGGCTCACTGAGTCTTTGCTCCATCTCCTCCAATGCTTCCCCCAAACCTCACATCTCCAAAGTCCTTCCATTGCTTTCCTCACTTGACTCCCTGTTCCTCAGCCCTGCCAGGGGAGCAGCACTCAGTCATCGGCTGCTTTTTCTTGATTTGTAAAGTGTGAGCCTTCACATAAAGAATATATAACCCTCCATATGTGGAAAACCACTTCATGCACGACATCAGAAAAATCATTGCCATGTGCAGAAAATTTCCATTTCACTTTTGAGATCTCCAGGGCAAGGCTCCATAACCATGCAAAGTCCCTAAGTCAGGTGAGATGAATCCTTAGAGTATATTTGAAATCAAAATTTCCCCACTAGACCTATTTTTTTTCCACTTTCCCAAGACTGGGACACACACATGTCAGACCATTCAGTTATTTTCAGAGAGGCTATTCTCTACTGCCTTTCAGCCCTACAAAAAGCAAGACTGAGAAAATTCCAGACAAAGGAAAGAATCTATATCTCTGCTGTTGTTTAAAAAGAAAATTTTTGTTTCTTTTTTGATGAAAACATCAAAGACGTGTGTTACTGAGGTTGTCTATTTAAGCAGAAGTGTCACACACCAAAACAAGGCTTTCATGTGTGATATTCTCAAAACTTGGCTCTGTGTTTTGCTACAAAGCCATGTGCTAAGATTGCATTTAGAGAGTCTGAGCTCTGTGGCTTTACCACAGAACCACTGATGTTATAAACACTCAGAAACAAAAACAAGTGTTCCCCATGCTTTACTTATTGCACTTTCTATGCAGCACACAGTGCTCAGGCTATTCTTCCTCCCTCTTCCTCCTTTGCTAATGTTCCTAGTTTTCCTCCCTTTTCCTCCTTTGCTAATGTTCCCTCTTCCAATTCCACATTTTGAGTTCAAGTCCCCAGCCCAGCCTCTCTGTTAGGGTAGGTGTGAGATCCATCAGTGCATCAGGTAAACCACTCTGATTATCAGTGTGAGCATGTAGGAACATTCTTCCACCACTGCAGCTGATAAAAAGAAAGGAGCATCTTAAAGCTTTGCTTTGAGAAGGTAAATTAGGCAACTGCTGTTCTCTAGAGAGGTTTGCCCAGCTCCACTTCTCACAGAAGGAGCTACAAAGGCACATTCCTGAGGCCAAATTCTGCTTAGCATGACAAAGCTTAGTCCACTGTGCAACCTGCTCAAGCCTTGCTGTAGATGGATTTTTTTTTTGCATTAGATTCCACTGCCTAGGTCAATGGCAAACAGCTGGTCAGCAGGATTAAGCCAAGAGGTAAAAGAAGTTTATTTCTCCCAAACAAAGTTTTTTTGTGGTCCTAGAGCTCCTGACAGTTCATATTCCACTTTATTTTACGCTGTTTTTTAAACAGAGACATCTGGCACAGCGAACTCAGCAGGGACTGAACTGCCAGATCCTTAGAACAGGACATTCTTGTTCTCCACTGCTGGGAATATTCAAACCCACCTCCATCCCCCCAAGGCTGGTCTCTCCTCCATTGCTGTTCGTATTAAAACTTGCACCTGGTCATTTTATCTGCACTGTATTTCTGTCACTTACACTGCAGACTCACTATTACTCAAATTATTTTTTAAAATAATCTCTCTATAATCTAAGGAACAGTTAATTATAATCTCACAGGCAAATTACAATAAAGTTGGGGTCTGTTCCCCAACCCCACCTTTGGGATCTGTTCCCATCTTACAAATTCACATAAGCAATACATGACATTAATGGGGGAAAGAATCCTGCAGAGCTGAGGCTTGCTTGTTAAAGGATCCTTTGGGAATAGGATTTGAAATTAGGAAAAGTTCATTACCCTTTCAGTCCTGTTGTCGGTATCAATTCCTTCGCTTTGCCTGTACCAGTTTCATCTTCATGCGACTGCACCATTTAGAGATCTCAGTTTCTCACAGCACACAAATCCCCAGGGCTGATTTAGCTTTTCAGGCACAGCTGGGAAAGTATCTTCATTTTCACCTGGTTTGACTTGTTGTTGTCTCTGGGGAGAGGTGCTCTTCATCTCTGAACTGGGCAGGTGTGTGCAGTGCCTGGTTTCTCCCACTGCTTCTGCCCAAAACTTCGGAGCATCCAGTTTCCTACCAATCCCATCCTACTGCCTTTGTAGGAAGGGGAAAATTGTCCTATTTTTGCACCTTGCTGCTTTAACTTGAGATCAGAATAATGTCATTGCTGGTGACACACAGCCACGTGACAGAGGAAGTTCTGAGTTCAGGTTAGTGTGGCGTGACTCACTGTCTGTGTTTTACCTAGCGCTAAAAATACCTGTTACAAATTTTCCACACTCGCTTCTTGTGGACTGAAGGTGTTGTTTTAGAGCCTCATCTATCACTGCCCTGCCAGCTCAGATGTGGAAGAGAAACAGAAGGGAGGGTTTCATGAAGCCTGGTACTGCCAGCACACCCACCAAGAGCAGTTTTGTGGTTGGGTGAGTAACACAGGTGAATGGGAAATGTGAGGGAAGAAATCTGAAAGAACTGGTGCTGATTTAAATGCTGGGTTTCTTTCCCTCCAGCATCTCCTGTCTGATATCTGACAGCTCCTGTGGAAATCCCAAATGCCCTGAGACATCTCAAATGGCATCAGACACCCCAGATCACACCTATCTGTTGGCTCAGATGACAAGGCTTTCAGGTCTCAAAAAACTTTTCAAACCTAATTTAGGGAGCACTCCAGCAGAACCAAGAACTACTTTTTAATTTTTATGTTTCATGGCTGCCTATTGTCCCAATACACAAGTCTCCTAATTCCAAGGGTTTGTCTCCATCCACTCCATCACAATAATTGAAACCACCTCCAGAATTTCCACAAATACTGTAGGTACCAAAAATCCATGAAGATGGGGGGAGAAACAGAAATTCCCATCTGTTTTAGGACAGCTAAGTGTTCTCATAATTCTGCAACTGACAGAAAGGCAAAATCCCTGTGAACACAATTACACCAACCTCTCTGTATGGCCCATTTACTACCTCTAAGTGCAGAGAAATGGAGTCCCAGGACACTTTTGGGGTATGGCAAGTGAGAATAATTGGTAGGGACTGATGAATTTTGTGAATGAAGGAATGAGAGAACAGTGAACATCAGGATGGCAAGAGAAGGAAACAGTGGCACACAACACCTTCCCATGGGGACGAAAAATTGGAATTATGTGCAGAGGGAAAATAAGGAGGCAACAAAACATCAAGACATCAAGGTAATGTGAGGGCAGTATTTCAAACCAGTAATAGCAGGAGTGCAGTCCTGGAGAAGGTGAAAAGGGATGCAGAATCCAGGGAAAGCTGGGCTGTGCAAAACTAGGTCAGTCTGTGACAGGCTGTGAGGCAGGTTATGCCCAGATATGCTGACCTCTTAAAAGATTTATATTTTCATATCACACCAACTCAAACAAGTTGATTGGCTAATTACCAACAGGGTGCAAAACAGCAAAAAAAAACCCCCAAAAAACAAAGCTAATCTTCCCTAAAAATGTAAAAAGTCAGAAATTTGGTGAGGGAGAAAAAATCTACGCTGCCATTCCCTATTCCCTGGATTCTTCCAATCCCTTGCCTATTTTCCCACTCACACAGCAATGATGTTGATTTTTTTTTAGGGGTAAATGATGTAGTCTTCTTGGGGACAAAGATGGAATGAAGTTCTAGGCACAATTCACTCCAGAGGTCAGTATGGTCCAGACCTCACCAGGTCTGCATCCTCTCTGCAGTCTTCCCAAACTATTCCAGGAGGTGCCATGACATGGAACTGAAGAAAGACATGGAGATGCTGGAACAGGTCCAGTGGAGCTGGGGAAGGGTTTGGAGCACAGGACTGATGAGGAGAGGCTGAGGGATCTGGGGGAGCTCAGCCTGGAGAAAATGAGGCTCGAGGAGGATCTTTTCACTCCCTAAAATTGCCTGGCAGGAGGGTGCATGGGTTACATGCTGAGTGCCTACTTTTTCTAGAAAGAGGAGTAAAAACCACATAAAGAGAAGGACTTCTGAAGATATATAAGATATTTTGAGACAATTAAGAGCAGTCATGGCAAAGGATATTTTGCAATATCTGTATTCATTCACGGCTCCTCCCAGTGTGAGGACTGGTACAACAATAAACCCAAAAGTTGACGGCTTTGATCAAACACATTGGTGAGAAGTATGGGAGGATAAGCTAATGTTTTAAAAGGTTATGATGGTTGCAAAGGAGAAGGTTCTTGAAAATGGGAGCAAAATATTTTATGTGACAATGAAGCAGTTAAAAGTCAAAAGGAGGCAAGCACAAGGTCACAACAAAGCCTGGGAAATTCCTCTTTCAAAATTCTTTCTGGATAGGAGAAAGGAATATGGCTGTAAAGGTCAAAGAAGATACTGCAGTTATTTAGATGTGAGAAGACAAGAACTTGAGCAATGTGGATGAAATTAAAAGGCTGGATCCAAGAAAGGTTGTGTGTGATCCAGCTGCAGTGTGGATGTTCACCATCTCCCAAGTGCACCATTTCTGCACAATCCCTGGCTGATGTGTGCAAGTTCAGAGGAACCCAACGACTGATTATCAGTTAAAAGAATGTTTGCCCTTTATGATGAGTCGGTTAAATGTTGTGGGTTTTCTTAAGAAGAGACTAATGAGTTGTAGGTTTGAGGGCCTTGTGCTGAGATTCAGATCTGCAATCTGCTTCAAAGAGGCTTTTGAAGTCTTGAGGGAAACAAGCTTTTAGCTTTCAGGGAAAGTGAGAGTACATGATCTCAACTTGCTGCTGATCTGATAACTCTTTAATTTTAATCACCCTGACGGTCTGTGGTAAACCATGTGGTTAACTATTTCGAGTGCAGTCGCTTCTCTCAAAGCCACAGTCTGATGTCGTTTACAAGGCAAATCCTTTGATAACACAAAAGTACAAGGGGATTAAAACAACCCTTATGCAGATTAGCTGTTAAACTGCTCACAAACCTTTCATGGTTGCCTTCTTCAAACTTTGTGACTTACTAAACAGCAAGACAATATAAAGTAAAAAGGGCAGAAAATATCGACGCGAGGAAATGAAAGAAAAAGGCATTGCAGGGCTGGGGGTGGGAGTCACAGGTTGAGTTGCTGTTGGTCTTTCAAGGAGAAAGCACTTTTGGGAGTCAAGGGCAGACACCAAGTGATGAACAACTATCAGGGACTTGATGGCCTTTGGCAGTCATTCCTGCTGTTTGCTAAGGCTGCATTAATTATGGGTGCAGAAAGTGTGAGGATATGATGACTAAGAAATCTCACTCCTGATAGCTGTTACTGTTGTGCATAAGCATAAAGGGCCACAGATCATGCACCCAAAGATCCAGAGTGCCAGGCCTGGTGCAACCAGACTATTTGAGCCTTTAATTTCTCAGCCTTTAGGCCTTAAATAATAATTAAGTAGTGCCTTTACCAACCTCTGGGTTCCCAGCTCAGCTTGAGCAGGCTTTACAAGTGCACTGAAATTATCTAACTTAATTCATTCCAGCTGATTAAGAAGTATATTTAGATATGATTTGCTGATGACACAACACTTCACGTCTTTGTTTTGGGACAAGTTATATTTAGGTTTGCAAACTTATTTCACAGTAAGCTGCTCTTTGGTGTTCTCAGACCGGGCTGAGAGTCTGTGCCCATTCCCAATGTTTGCTCATAGATGATTGCAACTTTTAATTGCTTACTTTTGCCTATTGTGCCTCACTCCATGACTGAGGGCTGCACACTCTGGTGGTTGTAACTGCTTTCCAAAACAATTACGTACAGCTTCATTAAGAAAATGTTGATAATAATGATTCTTCATGAAGAAAATGTTTCATGTTTTCCATCTGCTGGATATGTCTGGTATTGAGAACAGGGAAGTCCTTGATCCATAAAGTAAAATGCCAGGCTGTCCTGACTCTCAGGCTTTCTATTTGCAGGCGTATGCCCACGTCTTCCACCGAGTGAATTTGCTGATGTTACTGCTGACGTGTATCCACTGCAGACCAAACTGTACTATACATGTGACCCTGGCTATGGCAGAGAGGCTAGTGTATACCTAGGAATTGAGTGTAAGAGTCAACAGCAGGGTGCTGTTTGGGAACACCAACCATTTAAATGCATTGGTGAGTGACTGCTGTTTTTTTTCTATACATAGAGGTGTTTCTCCTCCATGTGTAACTTGGTATAAAACTAATCTGGGCATTAACAAAAGATCTTTTGTGCTTATTTTTCTAAGTTAGAACTTGCAACAGTTTTATCCAACCTCTAGAAGCTTGGGTGCTCTGGCACTTTGTTCTGATATTTGTCTTGCAGTAACTCAACAAATATAACTTCTCCACAGATATGAAAAATTTATCAGCAATGGCTTCCAAGACAGAGTTAGAACTTACACAGAAGCCAGAAATAGAACCAAGGAGCCCTGCACCCCAGAAGCAAGAAGACCTTTCAGAGTCCAAACCAAAAAGTAAATAAGAGCTCATTCAATTCTTCTGCTGATTTCCATGGTAGTAGTGTAAAAATGGTGAACAATATTTAATTATTTTGCAGACAGAGGGAAAGAAATTATTTCTGTAATGTCTTGGCTGAATAAGGTGGTACAGTATAAGCAAATGAGTATTTTATATCCTAACCAAGAATTATAAAGGCTTGCAGGATCTTGCTTGTCTCTATTTCCTAAGAACACAGAATTTTCAAGAACAGAAGCAGTATGCAAAATCTGTCTGCTTTAACTGTGTGCTGCCTTGTGCTCCCACAGATTTCTGTGGTCCTCCCAAGACTATTCCACATGCCTCCATAAGGCTGCCCCAGCAGCATTACGTGGGACAAGTCTTACATTTCAAATGCCAGACAGGTTATGATAAGAGACCCCCCACCTCTGGCAGCAGGACGTGCAAGGAGGTGGATGGCAAAACCTTCTGGACCCCCCTTGATCTGAGATGCACCAATGACACCAACCAGTGGCCACCACAGACCATTGGGCCAGGTAAGATGGTTGTGATTACACCACAGCAATGTCCCGACCTACTCATGTGGGGTTCAGACCCCCCAGTTGTCATGGGGAGAGTGGGAGCTTCAAAAAAGTTTACTAAAGAAGCCCTGCCACTGATGGAAGAAAGAACTCCCTTGTGTGTTTAAACACCTTAACAGAAAGGGGTTGGAATGAAGGCAAATCCTTAGCCTCAGATTTTGTCAACAATTTAAATTTAAGGAATCACTCTGTCCTGCAAGTTCTGTTGATGAATCAGATGTAATTATACTAAAAAAAAAATCAGATGTAATTATATAAAAAGGAGTTGTTTATTAAGACATATGAACAGGAAGTAACAGACAAAAGACTTTCATCAGAATTACTTACTACACAGTATAAAATTAAAATAACTACTAGTAGATTATAGCATAATATAAAACAGTATCAAGATACCTATATTAAAGCCAACAAAAGAAATAATATTGATTAGGAGTCAAATGTAACTTGAACCTTGAAATGTAACCACTGAAATAATGATAATGTACACAGGCAGATTCCTTCACTTAATCCCTTGGGAAGTATCTGTGAAATAGGTGTCCCTACTCACAGGAGAAACTCCACATATTTCCAGGAAAATGTACAGATTTCTGCTTTGTGAAAGCTTGCTGTGGCTTTTATATCTGTAAAATGAATGGCTGGCAGTGAGAAATTCAGCCTATTTTGTCATTCCAGCCCTTGTGACCATACCAGACCACTGCATACCCTGTTTCAGCATCAGCCCAGCACTTTCTCCCCTATTTCATAGATCTATTCCCCTGTGGTGCCTGGTTCAGAGTGTTCCTGCTACAGAATGATACCATTGAAAATTTCACTTGGTGCTATCAGGGTAAAAGAATTTCTTGTTCTGATAGGTATAGCCCATCAACAAACCAGGACTAGAAAATAATACAGCCTATTGGAGTTACATCTATTTAAAAACTACAAATATTTTAGAAATTTTAAACTGGGATTGTGAAAAACATGGGACTGGATAACAAAAGAAGCCCCCTTGGCCTTTAATTTAACGAAACAGTAATTCCAGTTTTCTGCAAAATGCTCTCAAACCTCAGCAAGGTCAGGTCCTTGCAAATAGAGTGCCAAATGTTTATTCCCCTAAAGTGTTGCCTTTGTATTTGTTATGATCTGATGTCTGTAATGAGGCTAGAACTTTCTCAGTTCTCCTTCAGCATTCAGCACAAAAAAAATATTTTTACACTATTGCAGGGCATCTTGTTAAAAACTTTGCCCTATATCAGGGCAAGTTCAGAGCTTCCTTTTCCGGATAAGAGAGAAATTAATTTCTTGCACCAGGGAAGGTTTAGCTTACATTTCTGGACAAAACCAGGTCCTGGTTGAAACCATGTTTCCAAGTACTAGCTTGACACCTTGAAAGTCATCCTTCCACTCTTATATGAAGTAAAGATCTTAGATGGATCCCATTCCAGTTCACTTCATGCCCACCATTAACAGGGATCAGGTTAGCAGATATGTTGGTATCCAGGCTGGAAAGATCTGCTGATGGCCAAGAAACAAACATGGCAATTTTAAAGTGTTCTGTGCAGAGGGAAATTTTAAAAAGTGTTCTGTCAGACTCCATTCTTGGCACTGCTTTGGTGCTGGAATGAGCTGGGCTTGGTGCTTTGGTGCTGGAATGAGCTGGCTCTTTGTCCGACTCTGTCCTCAGCACTGCTCTGGTGCTCTTCATCAGAAGAGCAAATTGATACAAAAATCACAAATTTTTCTCTCTTCATAGGTTTGAATCTTTTGTCCTCTTTCCCTTCCTCATCAGGGACACTGCCAGTGACAGGTATGCCATTTTATTAAAGACTTCACCACCCAGAGCACTTAGTTGGTCTTTCAGTTTGTTGTTCTATTCCAAAGAGATCCATTTCTGTTAGAAGAGCTGCTAAATATGCTGCAAGACAAATCTATACCCATGTATGTTGTGAGAAGTTAGTAAAGACAGTATAAACAGATTGTTTAAGCACTTAAGCTTTTATAAAGAAATTTTCAAATATTTGTAAGGAATGTAAAAGAAAACAGATCAACCAAAAGTCTGTTTTTTAAATGGAGACATTTTCAGATTCTTCTCTGAGACTTTCCGTGAATTCAGTGAATCACTTCAACTGGAAAAAAGCAGAAAAAAAATGTAAATATTTAAATGCTGAGGTTTTTTCACATTTTCAAAGGAATAAAAAAGATGGGCAAATAGAACATTTCTTCACAGCTAAACCAATGCATTTAGATCAGTCTGAAGAGATTTTCTTCTCCCCCTTCTCCGTCTTCCACTCAGCCATTAGCTGATGAAGTAGAAATTGTGTCTTACTGTGCATATGCTCAAGACTTTGCACAAGGGCTCTTGATTCCAGTTGGAGTCTGTCAAAAACTGTAGTGCACATTATGGTGAGAGGGAATAATGGAGTGAGATGAAGGAAGGGAAGGAGGAGTTTTGCAAACTACTCCAGAGACCACAACATCAGCAGTCCCTGGTTATTTGACTGTGGTCAATCTCTAGTTGCCCAAGTCCCCTCTGCTTGGGTCCTGGGAGCCATGGGGAAACATGGAAAAATTCCTGCCTCTGGGCAGAGGGGCAAGATGAGACCCTATCCCTAATCTTGTCTGTTTCTCCCAGCTGGAGTAAATACAATAATTAAGGTAACTCCAGGTGCTAACCATATTGATTTTCAGGTTTTACAGCTATCTGGTTTGTTCTGCTTATCATTCCCACTGCCTTTGTGTGACTCAGCAAGCAGCCAAAAAGGTAAGTGGGACAGAATGAGGAAAACATGAAATCAAACCAAAAAATCCCTAGAGGTGGAAGAGTTATCAACTGGATCAGCCTTTCCCTACTGCACTGCTTAGATTTCTGGACATCTTCTTTGGTGTTAAATATGAGTTAGGATTTTGGGATTGTCTGATTCAGCTGTTAAATACTGGCACAAAAAGAGGAGGAATCAAATAAAAAAAAAATCTTAGAACAAGTTGCCCAGAGAGGTTGTGGACTCCACATCCCTGGAAGTGTCCAAGGCCAGGTTGGATGGAGCAGCCTGGTTTAGTGGAAGGTGTTCCTGTCCATGGCAGGGGAGTGGAATGAGATGGGCTTTAAGATCTCTTCCAACCCAAATCATTCTGTGATTCTCTAATTCTAAAATGCAGTCTTTGTTCCAGCCATTGTGGAACTGAGAATGGCAGTTCAAATAATGGGGGGGAGATTAATTCTGTGGGAAAATTAAGGTTAGCTATGCAAATACATTGTTTCAGATAGGTTATGCAATCAGTCTTTTTCTCTCTGGCCAAACTGTGGGAAGTCTGGGGGAGCATCTGCCACCACAACCACGTAATTCTGTTGACTTCTTCCCCCTAATTTCAGAGTTGTGTCATGACAACTTTGTACTTCAGATTTATTTCAGTCTGGCCTCCTCCCTGTTTCTGTTTCTACACTGAGATGCACCAAGGCTGTTCCTGTTCATAGGCTCCCCTGCCTAGTTAAGCCAAGATGTTCCTATTTAACATTTGGGAATTCTCCACTTCTCCTCTCTCTTTACTAATCCTCATCCCTGTTTCTCTTCATGTTCCTTACTAATTACTAGTGCTTCTTAGCTGAATGGAGATTTTTCTTGAAAAGTGGGAAGGGAGGACCTTGTGAAACCACATTAGAAGTGGAATTTTGTCAATTCATGGCTGGATAAAGTGTAAACAATGCTTTGAAATGTGCTTTAGTGAAGATAGTCAACCATGGTGCAGATTGCCTGGGCCATTGTAGGATTTCTGAAAATGTGCTATGTGACAAAGTGTCAAGAATGATCTACATTGTACTGGCTCTGTGGTGGAACAAAGGTGAAATAGCCAATTCCAGATGAAATAGGAACTGACAAATGAAAGAGTAACTGAGATCCTAAATGGTGTCATCTGCAAAAAATACTCTGTTGTTTCTCATAGTAAATATAGAAGAAGCCATAGAAAACCTGCTTCTTCCCACCTATTAAAAATTGTTTTTCCTGTTGTAGGGAAGACTTCTCAGGGAATTGTGGCATTCAGATGCAGACTTGTGAAATTATTGACTTGCCACAGAAGAAACCAGATTGTAGCAGTGACCCCAAGACCAGCAGTGGCAAACAAGGAGGAAGCCTGGACACTCAAATCCAATGTGTGAAGGTGGCAGAAGAGGTTACAGCTCAGCTCTTATGGGGACAGCATGACTTTCCACCTACAGAGTGTTGGTAGGAGGACTGCACCCCATCACTGACTGCTGGGGAAAGAGCCCTGCCTGAAACTGCTTCCCAAACCCACTTCTCCTCCTCCTACGACACAGCAGATGTATTTCTAATATAACTGCAGCCCCTCCCAAGCCACCAGGAGTACATATGGACCATTCTCCCTAGCATTAATTGATGCCACTGTCATTTCAGCCCACACACCATCCTCCCCACAAACAGAGCAGCTTTGCTGGACACCTGATGTCCCCCTGCCTCTTCCCCACCCAGGTGGGCCAAGCGCAGGCACACCTTTCTCCTCAAATTGTTCCCCTTGGAAATTAAACCCCTTCACCCCCTGCACTGCAGCTGAAAATCTGACTGGATTCCCTTATGGTTTACTATATACATGCATTCCTCATCACTCCCCTCTTCCCAGTTATTTTGGATTTGTGCCTTCCATGAGAGTTCCTCCATCATTCCTCCAGATCAGACAAGGATGATGCAGATTGTGGCGGCTGATTAATTTGACAGCTCCTTTTGTAGCTGCAGAGAGTGAGAGAGCCCAGCACAAAGGCATCTGAGGACAGGCTCAAGCACACCCAATACTTGACATGTTCTTGTATTATTGGGAATTTGCAAGGTCTGGATATTCTTCTGCCTCTTTTTAGCCATGCTCAGCTGGGTAAGATGGGTTTCACCTGGATGAATGCAAGTATCTGTGTCTCAGGCAGGCAGTGGGGAGGAACAAGTCTCTTTGGAGAGCAGTTCTTCTCACCCTATTGCCTATATATATATAATAATAATAATAATAAATATATATTATATATAATAATACATATATTATTATTCTGTAATATATGTATGTGAATATGTATTTATTTTTACACACACACAGACATATAGTTATTTATGTATATGTACAGGTCAAATGACTCAGGGTGTTAACCACTTTCTCTGCATTGACTTTAACAATGCCCAGTTAAGACATTGACATATGACAAGAGCCAAATGGGGTGGATCCCTTCCTTATAATTCATAAGACATGAGGAGGTTTTGGTCTAGTTTTCTGTTTCAAAATAGTGTATGTGTCATTGCTTTACTGGTTAGTATTCCTGTTGAGTTATTCTCACTCTATAGCCTTGATGTTTGTATTTCCCATGGCTTTTTTATTCTTGTTGGGATAGGATTTATTTGTAGTAAGTATCTTATTGCATGAACCCTCAGTAAATTCATGGACAATGTCAAGTATGCTGGGAACGTTAATCTGCTGGAAGGTAGGAAGGGTCTGCTGAAGGATCTGGACAGGTTGGATCGATGGTGGGAGGCCAGTGGAATGAGGTTCAACAAGATCAAGTGCTGGGTCTTACATTTTAGCCACAATAACCCCAGGCAGTGCTACAGGCTGGGCCAAAGGGGCTGGAAAGTGTCCCAGTGGGAAAGGACCAGGCGGGCTGGTGACACATGAATCAGCTGTGCCCAGGTGATCAAGAAGGCTGATGGCATCGTGACTTGTATCAGCAGCAGTGTGGCCAGCAGGACCAGGGCAGGGATTGCCCTCCTGTAGCTGGCACTGGGGAAATCCCACCCTGAGTCCTGTGTCCAGGTCAGGGAAGATGTTGAGGTGCTGGTGAGTCCAGAGAAGGACAATGAAGCTAATTAAGGTCCTGGTGGGCAAGTCCTATGAGGAGGGGCTGAGGGAGATGGGATTGTTTATCCCAGACAAAAACAGGTTCAGGAGAGACTTTATTGCTCTCTGCAACTCTGGTGAGTGTCTGCCACTTCTCCCAGGGAACCAGCAACAGGATGAGAGGACCCAGCCTCAAGCTGCTCCAGGGGAGGTTCAAACTGGACCTCAGGAAGAATTTCTTCACTGAAAGGGTGGTTAAGCATTGGAATATGGTGCCCAGGGAGGGTGTGGAATCACCGTCCCTGAAAGTGTTCAAGAAATGACACATGGTGTCACAAGGTGGTCAAAGATTGGACTCAATCATTTTGGAGGTCTTTTCCAACCTAATTGATTCTGTGACATGGCCCTTCACTCTGAATGAGAAGGAGGGCTTGAAGAGAAAAGTACAGGCAGCAAGGATAAATAGGAAGCCATTTCCTCTTCCTCCTCCTTCCTCCTTTTCTTTCTTCTTTTCCACAGGCTTGGATGGCAGCAAAGGAGATAAACCCTGAAGAGGTCAGTGTTGAAAGTGAGGGGAGAAGCCATTCACACAGGCAGTGGGTATTCGAAGAGAAACTCTCCATTTGACAATGCTGTCTTCTAGATGGCTTAGAAACATAAAAACACAATTTGGTTTTAAAGGAGGGCTTTTAATTTATGTCAAATATGGAAGTACCTATAAGTTTAATGTGTGCTCTGCAAACAGAGATGTGTTCTAAGACTAGTTCTCAGATTTCCATTTTATGAGTTTACCTGCATTATAATGCTTTCGTATAGAAAATTCTGGCACCACCATTGTAACTGAGAAATTTTTATGCACATTATGTAGGAGCACTCCTCTTGTGCCACATGGACAGGAGCTGTGTCCTGGAGTGATGTTTGTTACTGCACTTCATGGGGTAAAGATGGGCAGGTTTGGATTCCCTGTCTGCAGCCACATTCCAGGGTACACACTGAGACAGCAGGGGGTGTTCAACCTGGAGAAGAAATTACTCCAGGGAGACCTTGGAGCCACTTCCAGTGCCTCAAGGGACTCCAGGAGAGCTGGAGAGAGACTTTGGACATGGGCATGAAGAGACAGGACAAGGGGGAATGGCTTCCCACTGCCAGAGGGCAGGGTTAGATGGGATATTAGGGATGCATTCTTAACTGTGGGGCTGGTGAGGCCCTGGCACAGGCTGCCCAGAGAAGCTGTGGCTGCCCCATCCCTGGGAATGACCAAGACCAGGACAGGGCTTGGAGCAACCTGGGATAGTGGAAGGTGTCTCTGCTCATGGCAGTGGATTTGGAACTGGGAGATGTTTCTTGTCCCTTCTAACCCAAACCATTCCATAATTCAATGAAGCTCCAGGGAGTGTTTTTCCCCTTTTTCCATAGCAGTACACCTGCTTTAAACAAGTTTTCTGCAGCTGTTAAAAGAAAAGGATGTGATGTGTTAACCTGGAGTATCTGCATGTGTATTTACAAGAGCTGGCTTATACATTCCCAAACTATGTGGTCAATGGCTCATGTTCTGCCTTCCTCACCTCTGCTCACTGATAATCACAATCTGTCTGATACTCTGCTGTTTTCTGAAGCCGTCTCATGCTTGAAACTGGAAGACACTTAGCAGACAAACTTTCTCCTCATTTTTTTCTTTCTTTTTTTTTTTCTCTCAAAAATCAAGATAAAAACACTTGGTTTTGAATCTTTTTACATATCTAAGATCCAGAGTTTACCTAGCCACCAAGTGTTTGTGGGTAGCCATAGTAATAAATTCCACCTGCATATAAACCAGCAAGGGAAGGACAGAGATAAATCACTGCTCCCAGCATTTACTCCCTGAAGGAGGAGACAGTGCAACCTGTTTACTTCCAGCTCAGAATCACTGGTTCAACCTTCTGAGCTTGCAGGTTTTTCTATCATATTTATATCACACAATTTCATTTGCTTTGGGCTTTGAATATTTCATGAAAGTAGTGGGGAAAAATGTAACTTCATATGAAAAGAAAAACAAAAGCATGGCAACTTGCACTCCCAAGGTACAGTACTGCTACTGAATGGTGTTGGCATTTTCTGGACTTCTTCAGCAGCTGATGTAAAACCCCTCAGACAAACTTTCTCCTCATTTTTTTCTTTCATTTTTTTTTTTCTCTCAAAAATCAAGATAAAAACACTTGGTTTTAAATCTTTTTACATATCTAAGATCCAGAGTTTACCTAGACACCAAGTGTTTGTGGGTAGCCATAGTAATAAATTCCACCTGCATATAAACCAGCAAGGGAAGGACAGAGATAAATCACTGCTCCTAGCATTTACTCCCTGAAGGAGGAGACAGTGCAACCTGCTTACTTCCAGCTCAAAATCACTGGTTCAGCCTTCTTGAGCTTGCAGGTTTTTCTATCATATTTGTATCACACAATTTCATTTGTTTTAGGCTTTGAATATTTTATGAAAGTAGTGGGGGAAAATGTAACTTCATATGAAAAGAAAAACAAAAGCATGCCAACTTGCACTCCCAAGGTACAGTACTGCTATTGAATGGTGTTGGCATTTTCTGGACTTCTTCAGCAGCTGATGTAAAACCCCTCAAACCCACTGGCACAGCAGAGCCATCCATCTAGCACTTGTGACAGATCAGGCTTATCTTGAGTGTATTTTCTCTCTTAGTTCTCTTCGATATATGAATCTGCATTCTTGGAAGGTTCTTTAGATTATGAAGCATTTTGAGGCACTGAGTTCACAATGAATCACAAATTAGCAGTTCCTAAAAAATAATGTCAAGTAAAATCAGATTTCTTTTGCTGAAGTAGTTGTTATTTTCAGAGGATATGTGAATGTAACACGGACTCTCTGAAGCACCTTGTGTTGAGGCCTTTGAGAATTCCTTAGAATGGATGTGATGTTTACAAAGGCCTAAATAATCATCTGGATAATCTTGCTGAGCCAATCTTAAATGTAGTGCCATCCACCTGGAAGGATATATTTGGAAGTATAAAAGACTTTATGTATTTGGGGTTTGTCATTGACAGTTGGAGCTCCAATATTTGCACAGTCGCTGTGTGAACGCTGAGTTTGTAAATCCCATTGAAGGAGAACCCAGACAATAACCAAGAGCAACAGTAAAAACAAAACAAAACAATAGGGAAACTCTCCTACTGTGTAATTAGTTTGAATAGGTTTGGTGGTACATGGAGTGTAACTTCAGATGATCCCATCTGGGTACACAAGAGATAAGTAGTTCCTCAGAAATCAGAGGAGGTTAAATCTTATACAATTTCCATAATAGGAAAGTGTGGCCTTTATATCCAGAGGCTAAAATGGTTAAGCAAACATATAATATGGACTAAATGTCTTAATCTGACTTTGGATGTAAAAACAACGCATGAGAATAAACATTTGGGTTTTGATAAATTTAACTGTCCTCTCTTCTAAAAGCTCCCAGCAAGATAAAGCACTTAGACTAGTGAAAGTATTCTTTTTTTCCCCTTTTTCTAGATTAACATTTAAGACAGAAAACTCCCAGCAGGACCTCCTGTGAAACTCGGGAATGTCCCCCATGTCTTTGATCATCATTTCCCAGGAAAAAGCCTCTCCCTGCAGGGTGAGATGAGTTGTCCATTTCCCTGGAGGAGCAGCTGGAGATTGGCCTGGCAGTGCCACAAACAGAACATGTTTCATGCATAACCATACACAGTATATTTGCTGCCTACGTGAGAGAGATCTGGTAGCTCCCATGTGTCCGACCCAGCATCATCCATCCATGCCATCCCCAGATGGGGATGGCATCTCCTTTGCCCAGGGGATGGCAAAGCACCAGGAAGCAGCTCCCAGGCTGCCTTCCCAATGAGCAGCCAAAGATACTTCTGGGTGGACCAAAGGAGTTTTGCCCAGCGGAGGCCAGGTTATGCAAATGGCTTCATTTTCTTGTTTCCTTCTCTTGCAGAACAGCACTTGACAAGGGGTTCATTTAATGCAATCTGAACCCTTGGTGTTACAGGAAAAGGGCTAAGCCAGCTGCATGATCCAACACTTTGCCATGAAGTGGCTGGAGGCTGCAGTGTCTCCTCACAGCTCCCAGCAAATATAATTTTTCCTTAGTGGCTAAAACCCCTGTGACACACTGGAGCCCAGAGCTCTCCCCAAAGTTGGACAGACACAGAGCAAACTGCAAAATTACCCGGCCATGTCAGTGCAGCTTCATCTTCCCAGGGAACACAGGTGCTTCCCACCCCACCGTGGGCAGGGAGCAGCTCCGGGCTCAGCAAAGGGCTCCATCCCTATTCCCCATTCACAGCAGGCTCAGCAGAGAGCAGAGGCCATCCTAGCTGAAAGGTGCAGCATGCTTGTGCAGCTGGGGCAGCCCTCTGCTCAGCTCCAAGATGGGTTCCTGTGGGAAGCACCTCTAAGACCTGTGGGAAGACAGCAGCCAGGCTGATCCTTTGTTTTGTGTTTTCCAGCTATTTCACCTCCTGCTGTGGAAGGCAAGGCATTTCCACCAAGGAGGCAGAGGACTCTCTAATGCCTCTGCTATAGTCTGAGAATGGCTATTTTTATAGGATTTCCAGGAAGGAAGATGTGTGGGATTTCCCAAAAAGGGTTGAGATTGAGTGTGTCCAGGAGTTCTGCCAGCACTTGTGTTTCTCCAGAGGATTTTTGGGCTATCTGGGGAGGGGGTTTTGGTATTCACAATGCTCTCACTCCCTTCTACTTAAAATATTTGATGTTATTTCTCAAGGTGACTAGGCTTGAGTTTTTTCTTAATAAATAAAATAAGCAAATGCAGGGAAATGTAAACTCTGTTATGACTGCAGTACTGGGGAAAGGCAATTCTGAATTGACTCAGATGATTCTTTTCTCTGTTGGGCTTCCCAGGTGTTTCACAAGCTTGCTGTGCAGGACAGGGCATTTCTGGGTACTGCCATGAGTAAAGGTCCTGGGAAAAGCCTGGGAAGTTCATAAAGGAGGGACTGATGGACATGATCAATCAGCCAGTGGTTCCAGAGCCAGGAAACTGAGGGCAGTGGGCATGGTGGGACTAATGGTGAGGATGAGTGTGGTCTCAAGCCCGAGCCAATGGGCAGATGTGGGTGAGCAAGTCAGAGGGAGCCGTACCCTGAGGTACAGCAGAGGTGTCTGCAGAGGTGCCTCAGTCTGAAATCACTCCGATGCTTTCATCCCATCAGGGGCTGTGTCAGCATTTGATCCCAGCAGAAAAAAATCCATCCAGGCAGAGGACCTGGGAGGGCAGGAGCTCTCCAGCAAAAGGGGTGAGAGTCATGATGTGCTCACTTTGTTCTTCTAAAAAGCAAAATCTTCTCCTAGGGGTCTGTGCAGCCCAGCTGGCACAAGGCAAGGCTCTTGCTGCTGTGCCCAAGGCAGCTGGAGGCAGCAGGAGCAGAACTCCATGGTGCTCCCAGGCCATGCCCCGTGTCTGCCCTGGGATCTGGTGCCCTGTGCTCAGGTGTGCAGAGCCCCCAGAGCTGCCCCTGGGGAAAGGGCCTGGCCTCTGGCTGCTGGCCCAGCTGGGGGTGGCTTTTGCCCAGGATCCTGCAGCACATCAGCCAGCCCCAGTGGGGCTCTCCAAAGCTCAGGGCAGCTGCACTGGCCCAGGGTGCAGCTCTTCATGCAGCTGAGGCAGGCCTGGAGCTCTGCTGGCTGTGGTCACAGCTGGGACACCAGCACACCTGGAAACACCTGCACGGGGCTGCCTCGCTCTGCACCTCCACCAGAACCTGTCTTTAGTGCAGCCCCCAAACAGGTTGGTCCTGGCTGAGCAGTGAGACCCAGCAGGACAAAGAACAACAGCTCCTGAGCTGAGAAGTCCAGTCCCATGCTGGCACCTCTGAAAGTGACACTCTGAAAGTGAGCGGTTGGCACCCTGGCCCACTTCGTTCATGCCATTCACATGAGAATAACTGCTGTCTGAGACTGGCACTGGTTTGGGTGTTGGCACATCCTCTGATTGCATTTGCACACCCAATGTCCTGCAAGGATGCTCTGGGCACTGTGACTTTACTGGTGGTTCTAGAAATTTCAGTGGAAAGCAACTTGTGGTTTATAGAAGACGTGACCCTGCAGTCCAGCACTGCTGCAAATAACTTTTATTGTGAGCTCTTGCAAACTTCATGATGTGGCAGACATTGTTCTTTGACAGCCATTGAATACATTTCCCCAAATCAGTTTCCCATAAATCTGCAGAAAAGCTTCAGAAGCAGAGCAGAGAACAAAGGTGTCTAAGCTGTGCATCACAGGAATTCAGCTTTGGCTGCTCAAAGCTTTCCATGTATCTGATGCCAAAGCCTGCCTGTCTGATACAACAGCTGCTGCTCTCGAGGTGAAGTTTCAAAAGCAAACAAACCAAAGCAGATCCCAGGATCATAGAATCATGGAATTGTTGTGTTTTGGAGGAATTTTTCAGGACCTTCTAGTCCAGACTCCAGGCTCCAGCAGGGGCAGCTAGAGCAGGTTGTCCAGAATCACGTATTGTTGGCATTTGGGTATCTCCAGGCATGGAGATCTCCCGACAGGATCTCTGGGCACCCTGAGGTGCCCTGGTGCCACTGCCCTGCTAAGGAGGTGAGGGACAAGCCAGCTGCACACTCCTGGGACAGCTAAGGAGGAGAGGACTCGTTCCTGAGAGCTCTCTGCTGAGATGGGCAGCAAAGCAAAGCAGCTGGAGGCTCTGCCCACATCTCTGTGCCTTTGAGCAGAGGAGGAGGTGCCCTGAGGGACAGAGCTGGGAACACAGCAGAGAAGGAAGCAGCACAGACTCTGCACAGGACATTTGTGCCCCGCTACTCTGCTCTGCTGAGACCCCACCTGCAGTGCTGCCTCCAGCTCTGGGGCCCACAGCACAAGAAGGATACAAAGCTGTTGCAGTGGAGTCCAGTGGAGGCCATGAAGGTGCTCCGAGGGCTGGAGCGTGTCTGCTTTGGAGAGAGGGTGAGAGAGCTGGGGATGTTCAGCCTGGAGAAGACTGCTGAGAGTGCAGTACCTCAAGGATCTCTCAGAGGGCTGGAGAGGGTCTTTGGACAAGGGTATGGAGTGACACGACAAGAGGGAATGGTTTCACACTGATGGAGGGCAGGGTTGGATGGGATATTATAAAGAATAAATTTCCATGAGCATGCTGTGATACGAGTAAAAGTTACCCAGAGATGTTGTGACTGCCCCATCCCTGGAAGGGTTCATGGCTGGGCTGGGGAAGGTTTGGAACAACCTGGTGTAGTGGAAGGTGTCCCTGCCCATGGCAGGCAGGTTCAGTATGAGATGATCATTAAGGCTTTTAGGTCCAATCAAAGCCAGCCCATTCTGTGATTCTGTGATTCTGTGACATGTGGAAAAGCCACCAAGCCTTTTCCATTGAGGACGTGAGGCTTATTTCTGGGGACAGGTATTGTTGAACAGAGTAACCTCTCCCTTATAGAGATCGGTCAACCTCTTCTCCAGCTCCCCCAGACTGAGCTCCTCCACTTTGTTCTTGTCATTCTCTGCAATGGCCCCCCAAGCCTTCCTGGGCTCTGTGCCCACCAGACAGCAGGCAGCTGACCAGATGTGGCTGGGTACATTAACCCTCTTATTGGAGATGTAATTTTCCCCAGGCACAGCACCTGTGACAACATAGGTGGTTGTACAGCCCTTGGTCATTTCGATCATTGTTTTACGCTCGTAGACCTTCCACTGGCCATCATTGAGACTGCTGTTCTGGGGCACTACATTGGTCAGGGTGTAGGTAGATTTCTTGCTCTCTTTATTATCCATATGGCCGCAGGGGCATCCTTTGTAGTCGGCAGGAACAGCTTGGCTCTGTTTGATTTGGTCTAAGGTGAACTTGTGTTGCTCTATGAGGATCCAATCCCTTTCCATCTCTTTAAGATTTACATTGTTATCTATGAGCTGGACAGGGAAATAGAAAGAGGTATTAGAATAGGGAATGAGAGTAATGGAACAGATTTCCCTGGAGCAGAAGTCTCTGATGGTCAAGATCGCATTTTGTGTTATCTCTGTGCAGGAAAACATTTGAATCTGAGAGAAATAATACACATGTCCCTCCTGCATGAATGCAAGAGCGTTAAAGAGAAAGTAGCTCAGAATCTGACTGCTCTTCTTTTGACTTGTGAGCTTTGTGATCCAGCCTGCAGCCTGTGCTGGGTGCATGGATGGATGCACGAGACAAGGAGCATTTCCCACTTCTAGGATTGAACGGTGACTTTGGTGAGACACCTCCCCTGCCAAATCTGCTTCTCTTTCCTCTTGTCTCCACAGCCCAAATCTGCCCAGGGCTCTCCCTGGATCCTGTCACACCACGCTGTGATTGTGTGATTCTATGATTCTGTGATTTTTATGTGTGGTTGCTACAGGTCACCTCAGTCCTGGAACATCAGGACTGTAACCCCATACAGAGGGAGATGTGTCAGGAAATCAGTCCTGGAGCTGAGGTTTCCCTGGCAGGGCTGCAGTTCATTCAAGGTTGAACAATTTTGCTCAGTAAGCAAAAAGATCTCAATGTGAATGGAATCTGATACAGCAGAGCTGAGAATGTGTCTCAGGGCTGATCTGGGCCAGGGAGCATTTTCTGCAGCATTGCTGGAAAGAAGTTACAAATGATCAGCCTCTGAGAGGGATCTGTAAGCTCAGAAGAGTCCTGGGGAAACTAAATACCCCAACAAGGTCTCTGGAGTAAATCAACAAAAGGAAGGATTTTTTAAATGGCCAGGGTTCATGTCCAGGAGGAAAATGCCAGGTTGGATAGGGCTTGGATCATGCTCGACAATGATCCAAGTGGCAAGTGGCCTGGCCCATGCAGTGGAGTTTGACTGAGATGGTCATTAAGGTTCTTCAAACACCAACCACTATGATTCTCAAAAAGAGAGAATGTGGAGGCTGTAGTGGTGCAATGCCAGAGTACTTTTTCAAGTTCCTAAGCATAAGATGAAATAGTTCATTTTTTCATAACTTCAATATCTTTTGGTTCATATATAGAGAAATATATTTAGCCTTCTTCTGGAGTAGGGCATGTAGTTTCCTCCTCTGGCTCACCTTCCCCCAAGTGCCATCCTGCTACTCTGTCCTTAGCAATGACAGGAATTGCTTCTTTTCTCTTCTGCAATTGGCCTGGCCTGTTCAACAGAAGTTTGTCTGAAAGACATCTGTGAGGGCTCTAGAGCTTGTGGAGTTCTGTCTGTCTGCTGGATCCTTGTGGACCAAGCCTGAGCCAAAGGTGCTCAGGGGTCACTGCCCATGGATGGATATCCCACCCTTCTGGACTGGACCAACACTGATGCTCCTCATCTTGCACTGCCTGTAATGTCACTCGATATATCTCTCCACAGTAAACATGACCCTCTTATCTCCAGTGCCTTTTCCCTCAAGGCT